TAGCGTGTTGGGTGGTCCACGTCACGAGCACTAGTAAGTCTAGCGACCGAAATGACCTTGATCTAAGGACAGATGGAGGCAACGACGGGAAAGCCAGACATCGGACGGGCGACGACCCACTAAAACCTTGAAAAGCGCGGTTGCCTCTTATGGACCCCAACCCACGCCGGTACTGGTACGGTTTAAATACAGAATACCTCATATAAATCTGAGCTACAACACCCCTCATATATATAGGAGCTTACCACATATCGTTCAAGTGATCCGCTGAGTCTACAACAGCGCATTGATTACATAAATCCTAATAAAGTAAAACGACCATACTAGAAGCATTCGAAAGAAATCAATTTAGAATAGACCAGATGGCATATAATCTTTGTTAATTAAGAGAAACTTTTGGCAAAATAAAATAACTCCTTTTACTTCTAAGTTGAAATTGCGCAGAACTCGCTGATTCGCATCAGCACATTCTACTACATGAATCGAAGTGCAGCTAAATAAATCTGCCTAGGAAAATATTTCCAATAAAACATGTTCGGTGGATGGCAATCCATTCGAATGAATGAATAAGGTAAAAGAATTGCGAAAAACTGTTCTCTCCTGCGAAAACTTTCACTGTCTTGGTAGGCATCTTCAGCCCATCTAACATACGTTTAGGCCGGCAGGCATGTACAATTCATGTCACTCGCACAGCACACCTGAGCGTGAGCGCAGTTTTGCAACTCTTATGTGATAGGATGAGCACGTCAGTTGGCAGGACGTGATTGGCTGGTTGACTGTCAGTGGCGGCTGCGAGTAGTCAAGGCTATCGCACAGCGATGTCACTGGTGTCGATGCGTTTGCAGGCTGATAAATAAAAGTGTTGGGTACAGTTTGACATCAGTAGTGCTCATAGGAAACGTGCGCGACATATGTTTCGTCCAAATCGTAAGAAATCTTTTCGTTTTCTATTTTTTTCCAAGGTAACGACGCAGGATTGTGCGACAAAAATGGCATTGACCTAAAGAATGTCCCACTTAAAGAGATATCTGTTCACGCCGAGATACACAACCTGGTTGCTGATGTTACCTGTAAACTCGTCTACAAAAATGACGCCAAGGATTTGGTTGAGACACAGTTCGTCTTTCCGATTGACGCGGACGCCGCTATTTACCATTTCGAGGCGGAAATTTGCAAAAAGCGTATTGTGGCAAAGTGTCGAGAACGGCTTGAGGTAAGCTTTTGGAATGAAGTACTATAATCCGTATTAGGCTTAACATAATACAGAAAGTTCACATAATTAGGGTGCCAGTTTGTCCTTCAAGGATAAATTGTCCGACGGTAGCACGTGAAGACATAAATGCACAGGTTTGAACGGATAGTTTGTCCTTGCTTTCAAGGCGAGGAAGTGGATTGCTTTTAACTTTTCCACTGGCTATGTTCGCGTGATGGGAATGCTCAAGCGAATATTTTATATTTCGCTCGTCTGAAGATTTTGGCATGGGAGTCGGAGAAATAGCTCCTTCTCAGCCGCTTACTTAAACTGATTTGTATAAGACATGTACGTTCAGCGGCGCAGCCGGAGTATGTAATCTTCTATCTCAGGTAGATTAAGCGGTCTACGCCTGGTTTCTGACATAGTTGGATAAAATTGTAGTAATTTGTTCATTGCTCTGTCTGTTTTGCCTTTCGAAATACACTTCAAAAGTTTTACATCAAACTTGCAATTAAACAGGACGTCGTCAGGCATTCTATGTTCCTAGTAAGCAAAGTGAACTTTGCCGTTAGGTTGACCACATTCACTTAAAAAAGACCCTAAAGTCCCCCTGGCCGAAGATGAACTCAGCATGGGTGTTGACACTTATTACCTCGCCTCGCTACAGCGAAGATGCAGAGACATGAAGTAACTGACCAACAACTTTAACCACCGACTCCCTCATCAGCCTCTTAAGACTAATGCATAATCCGTTGATCTCAGAACAGTCGGTTTTGATCGGCCAAATTTTCGAATCATGCAATGGCACTAATCCTCAGTTCTTGTAAGATATACAAGGAGTAATGCCGAAGACTTATTAAAATTAATAATACTGTTTGGTTCGCTGTAGGCTAAGGAAACGTACCAGGAAGCGGTAGATGCCGGTCATACTGCTTTCTACATGGAGGAAGACGAATTCATGGGTGACACCTTTACGATGAAAGTCGGAAATATTCCCCCGACGGAGACGGCAAATATAGAACTGCGCTACTTCTGCCAGCTTCAAGCGCAGGACGTTACAGATGACTCCGGGAACCACACGGTGGCGATTTTCGCGCTACCTTCTGTCCTCAATCCACGTTATACGCCATCAAGTATGAAGACGGCCTTTCCGCAGACAATGTTGTTCCTTACTATTTACTACATCCCTTTCAGCGTTGTTCATATAATAAGAATCGTTCGTTTGATACAAGCCAGTTTTTAGACTTCTTCCATTATTGTGGTATAATTTGAGCAGGTAAATCGTTTGCCCTAACGATTGTGTGTCATTGTAGGAAACCATACGTAGGTGCCAATCTCTGGCATAAATTTCCATTTTGTGTTTGTAGCTTTGGCTTCGAAAGTTAGTTATCTCTTAGCTTCTTATGTTTTCATTTGTCCTAGCTTCTGAAAGCGAACGGCAGTTTGGCCCTCCAAGTGCAATCACATTCTGCAATGTGAACGCACCCTACACATTTTCATTCTCAGCAAGTCTGGCTACCCAATGCTCAATAATGGGGGTGACTTCTGCGAAGGACGCTTTTGACCTAAAGTACCAGGGAGAAGACAAAAAGGCCGCGAAGGTAACTATAATGCCTTAGAATACCAACCACTTTTTAAATCATTACTAATCTTGTGAATGTTCTGTGATTTTATGGGGATAGTCTGTGGATATTTCTGATGATTTTAAGTTATTGACTTGCCCTTACCATTTAACTTCCGTACTATCTTAGTAATCGCGGTCACTGTTACGTTAATGTTCAGATGACATTGCAAAGTGATTTTAAGTTTGACCACGATCTGGAAATGGAGATCGTGTTTGCCGATCCGTCCAAATTGATGATCACATACGAGGAAGGTGATTCAACGGTTGGAAGCGGAATTCTCAGCCTCGACTGCCTGACTGTGAACTTCTTGCCAACGTTTAAGAAGGGCACTGACGTACGCAATGAGGTCATTTTTCTTATTGACCGCTCCGGTAAGAAAACATTGTTTTTATCGTTATAAAACTAAACACACAGATGCATGCTATGTTTTGGCTCACTGCAGTCAACCACAATTTTCCAACATAAGTGAATACTACTATTTACAGAGTCCTTTTTTTCAGGAAACCCTTTTCTTTTTGCCTTAACCTTTAACTTCTTCCACAGCCGTAATGTGATATTTTTCGAATGAAAGGGAAGCAACAGTTCGTAAACAAAAGATAAATTTACATAAGCCCAATGGTCCTCCAATACATTTCAGACATCCACATCTCATCAAACCTGTATATCAATGCTTCCTTAAGGATTCTCTTAATTTTTAAAATGTGCAATGCGCACTTGCTATAACATTTTGTTTACTTTTCGTGATGAGTGCAAACTGGCCTCGGTTATTTTATTTCTTTAGGAGCCTCATCTGAATGACATCTGTAGAGAATTTGACTAACGCAATATTTCTAGTAAAATTACTGCTTCGATTACATTAAAAGTATCACAACTATACACATGCCATCCCCTGAACGGATGCATATTTTTCGAGGACTCCAAATAGAGGCTTACACACGGTTTAATCTGCACCTGACCTGAAAATCCAGCCCAGACCGAGCATTTTATGCGCAAACCTCAAACATGCTAAAGTCTGTGTCTATGGGGTATGCTTGTGAGCGTTGCACAAACAGATCAGGAATTATGTTGCCATTTTGTATTGCACTACTAAGTAGA